GAATCAACATTTGGATTTTTGTTTCAATTAGTTAAATTGTTTTTCGAGTTCATTTAAAGTTAGATTTTTGATTCATTTAAAGTTTGAATTTAGAGTAAGTTGAATTGTCAACTGTTAAGTAAGTTGAATTGTCACGAATCATTGTCAACTGGCCATTTCCCTGATAAATGGAAGCGCTCGAGTGTGTCACCAATATTCAAAAAGGGGTCCAGATCGAAAATAGAAAACTATCGTTGCATTGCAAAACTCCAAACTGTGGGGAAGTTCTTCGAGCATTTGGTGAACGTCAAACTTCTGTCTCTGGTACAGGACAAAATCACCAAAAAGCAACATGGCTTTATGAAGTCCAGATCTACTGCATCTAATCTTACCGAATTTACCTACTATGCCCAGAGAGGCATAAACTCTGGTGCGCAAGTGGACGTTCTCTACACGGACTTCAGTAAAGCGTTTGATAGAGTTAACCACAAGAGATTGATTCTAAAACTCAGATCGTTCAACCTGCCAGACAATCTTCTTGCTTGGATTGAATCATACCTGTCAGACAGAACGCAATTCGTCAAGTATGGAAACAGCGAGTCGAACGGATTCGGCGTATCATCTGGCGTACCACAGGGTAGTCATCTCGGACCCACACTATTCCTGTTGTTCATCAACGACATAGTGGACGAAATGGACGACGTGTTCATTTCCTTGTTCGCCGATGACGTGAAAATCGCCAAAATTATCCACTCGAGCACGGATGCTGAGGTGCTGGTTGACAAACTGAAGGTGTGGTGTGACGTAAACAATTTGCACCTGAACCTTGACAAATGCGCAGTCCTTACAATCACCACAAAAAGGAAGGACATTATCGATACTAATTACAAATACGGTGATTTTACTTTCAAGCGCGTTTCGGACCACAAAGATCTCGGCGTCATCATTGACCAGAAGCTGAGCTTTGTCAAGCACATTGACGCGATAACATCGAAAGCAACGGCTGCCCTTGGATTCATCAGGAGATTTTGCTACGACATAGTCGATGTTCAAACGCTCAAAACACTGTACTACGCATTGGTTCAGTCTCATCTCGAGTACTGTAACGTAAAGCTGTCAACGGACAAGAAGTTGTCCGTCCGTCCGTCCGAAAGTTCGGACGGACGGACAATGTCCGAATTATTTTATTTCGGACAAACGGACAACGGACACGGACAGGTTTTGTACGAAACATTTCGGACACGCTTTTTTGTCCGAACATTCGGACAGTCCGAATGTTCGGACACGTTTTCGGACGGACGGACAATTTTTTGTCCGAAATTTGTCCGAAAATTTCAATGAAACTAAAAACACGTTTTTCCCGTCCGTTCGCCAAAAATTTCAATTTTTCAACAAATGGTTCATTAAACGCGACGCTGTGTTTTCCCATATTTGACAATCACTCTCTCGAATTCACCTCAGTTTGAAATCTTGTATATTTTGAACGATCTTGAACTGCTATTTGATTGTATTTAAAAAAAAAACGTCAATCTATGCAAGCAACTCATAAAGTTCGTTTTTATTCCATTGAATTTTTTTAAAAATGTAATCCAAAAATAAAACAAATGAAAACAAACGAATATTCATTGCTCGAAATCTCACAAAACCGCACAAAACTATTTCAAGCCGTACGTACCTTTGAACAAAAATCGACCGGAATATGGAATGTTAACAAACGGAATGACATTTGTTCATCTTCATTGTGGATTTTGTATACGAAAACACGCGAAGTACAAATTATATACTAACATTGTACAAAATCCAATTCAGCCAGTGATTGGCGGTGTTAAATATGAATAAAAATGAAAAGTTACTGTAGTATTTGAGAATCGAAACATTTCTATGCTCTTTTAATAATCAACACAACATTTACACAAGAACAAATAGTTTGATTAATTTTCTTATTAGTTTTGAGAATTTTTCTTCATACAATTTTCATTAAGAAGTATCAGAAGAAAGTACTTATCAAGATACGAACATCCGTCGGAAAATTATTAGCGTTAAATACGCGAACCATTTGTTGAAAAATTGAAATTTTTGGCGAACGGACGGGAAAAACGTGTTTTTAGTTTCATTGAAATTTTCGGACAAATTTCGGACAAAAAATTGTCCGTCCGTCCGAAAACGTGTCCGAACATTCGGACTGTCCGAATGTTCGGACAAAAAAGCGTGTCCGAAATGTTTCGTACAAAACCTGTCCGTGTCCGTTGTCCGTTTGTCCGAGATAAAAAATTTCGGACATTGTCCGTCCGTCCGAACTTTTTTTCGGACGGACAGATTTTGTCCGTCCGAAAAAAATGAAAATTTTCGACGGACAAATTTTGTCCGTCCGAAGTTTTCGGACGGACGGACAGCAAAAAACCACTTTTTCACTTTTTTGTCCGTGTCCGTTGATAGCTTTACTGTAACGTCGTATGGCTACCAACTTATGCCGTACATATTGACAAGATCGAGGGAGTTTTGAGGAAATTTACTCAGTTTGCCAGAAGAGAGTATCGGACAGCGGCAAACGGATATAATATCACCGAATACAACAAGCGACTCGAGGCCCTCGATATGACATCACTAGAAAGAAGGAGAGTAAATACATCAATTGTATTTATTTACGATATCGTAAATGGATACGCAAACTGTCCTACTGTACGCAATGATATAGCAGTAGGTGAGAGCATTCGCACCTTGCGCCACACTAACTACCTAAAAATCAAGGACAATCTGATGAACAAACAGATTAGAGCTCAAATTCCACAATTGTGCAAATACGCAAACAAAGTGGCTGATCCATTCCAAAATTCAACCAGTCGCGCAAACTTCATCACATCAGTACGAAAAGAGCACAGTCAAATTTTTAGTTTCAAGTACTGCGAATCGTTTTTTTTTTCTTTCATCCTTACTAAATGTATAATGTATTAATGAGGCATAACTGTGATTTTACACAAATTTTTTGAAATTTAGTAACATTGACTGTGATATAGCCATCCATTGAGTTGGTGATTATTTTGACCTGTCATTTATTTATAATGGAATATAGTTACTCTTGTCAATGTACGTAAAAGCAAACAAATCTAAATTGTATAAAAACAAAAGATCAGGTTTTTCATGACTCTTGGAGTCATTTTCCTGCAAAACTCAATATTCAGCCAGTTTTTGGCGGTGAAATAAATAAATAAATAAATAAAATTTTCATTGTATTTTGAATTGTTTGAAAATTAACTGATAGATTTGAACGAGAAAATGAATTGTTAGTTTGTAAGATTTACATTAGATTGAGAGAGAGTATTAGAAATAGCAATCGAAATGTAAATGTGAACGCATCCTAAAATGTAACATCAAGTTTGACATTTGACAGATGACTTGACTTTGACGTTTGATTTATCAATAAACGTTCTTCTTGTTATTACACTCAAACCGACTGGACGTGTTTCAATATTCAATGCCATAATTTTGTCAACACTGACTATCTGAAGATCAAAGACAAGCTCATGGACAAGCAAACCAGAGCTCAAGTGCCACAAATGTGCAAATATGCAAATGAAGTGGCTGATCCATTCAAAAATTCAACCACTCGTGCTATTTTCATCACATCGGTGCGCAATGGGCAAAGTCGAGAATTTATTATAAAATACTGAAAAATTTGCATACAAATATTGAACATATTTCTTTTATTATAGCTACATTGACTGTGATATAGCCATCCTTTGAGTCGGTGATTGTTCTGACCTATTATTTGTACTAGGGTCTCACAGTGGCCGATGAATCGTCCAATAATAAACACTTCTTTCTTTTAAAATTGATGGAATGGTTGAAAATTTGAATGGCACGTGTTATATTGATTCCGTGAGTGAATTTTTTGTTTTGAAAATAGCAGATTTTTTCTCTGAGTTTGTTATTCAATTTGTGAGAAAAATAATAAAGTTGGTTTTAAAAAATTTAGACAAATTTAATAATTCCCAATTCACATATATGCAGACAATGCGTTGTTAAAATGAAGAAGCGAAATAGAACCCATGGAACCTCCACTCACGCGCGGTTTGCTCTCGTTTTTCTATGGGTTCTATTTCGCTTCTTCATTTTTACAACGCATTGTCTGCATATATGTGAATTAGGAATTTTTAAATTTGTCTAAATTTTAAAAAACCAATTTTATTATTTGCTCACAAATTGTATAACAAACTCAGAGAAAAAATTTGCTATTTTCAAAACAAAAAATTCGAAAAACTTTGAGAATCCCGGGACCCGGAAGAAGGTGTTCTCTAACATGCTTTAAACTCATGTCAAACTTGACATATGTGAATTCAGAATGGCATTCTTCACATCTACTGTTCACGACCTTTCAAATGGTACTAGTGTAATGCTACCATGTGTACTGATTTTATCAGTACACTTATAAAATTCGTAAAAAAAATTCGTGTGTCGGAAGCTTGTTTACACATATGGAAAGAGGAAGTCCCAAGGAAGTTTTCTATCCGATCAGATTTCCCGGAAAAGTCACTGGAGCCAAAATATGGCCCCATATATAAATTTAGGGTCATTTTCAGTACATTTTATTTTTACAAAATCTTCCATATTTCCCGAGTTTTCCAAGATTTTCCAACCATTTTCATTTTATGAGTGTACGATCGTAAGCTGAAAACGAATTCAAGAAAATTTCCCGGAAAATTGCAAATCCTGGAAAATTTTCCGAAAATGAACATATCGCTATAAAAGGAAAATGGAAAATCGGGGAAAATTGTGAGAAGTCCCATTCGATCGGGCGGAAAATTTCATGGGGATGGTAGCCGAAGGCCGAGATTTGGGGCCTAAATCCAGCCGTTTCCGAGATATTGCGAAAAAACTGGCTTTGGTACTGATTTTTTCAGTACACTGGTAGAAAATACATGGTAGCTTTATACTAGTGGCATCAGAATAAGTTGAAATTTCATGAATTTTTTTCATCAAACTGTAAACTACAAGCTTTTAGTTTAATAAACTAATATTCTCACACCTTTATAGTCTTGTTTTGTAATCGTAGGCCATTGAGGGTATTGATGGCTTTATCAGCATCTTCAGCCCTTTGGTAGTTGACGAAACCATAGCCTAGACTTTGGCCTACAAAAATATTCAGTTATTATTTATAAACAAGGAAGTTGCTAATGATATACCAGTCACTTTATCGCGGATCAATTTGCAGCTTTCAACGTCTCCGATGCTCGAGAAAAGTGAACGAATCTCTTCTTGCGACATGCTTTGGGGCAAATAGTTTACGATGCAGTTTGACCTCCCTAAATTTGGATTGAAATTAGCAAACAAATTAGAATTTTTTTTTTCAAATTTTTTTAGTGATCAAATTTGAAATCAACACTGTTTAAAATTTACGCCCGACTACAGACGAAATTTCGACTAGTATATGGTCTCAGTCCCATTGAACTGAACTGTTCGCGTTCGTTCGGGTTCGTTCGAGTTTTAACTAAACATGAACCGAACATAAACTGAACTTTTGCATGAAATGAACAATTGAACTAAACACCGAACGAACATGAACAAGACATATTCTTTTTCGAAAATTCTGAACTGAACGTGAACGCACTCGAACACAGATATGAATTTTGAACATTGTTCAATTCAATTGAACCATGATGTGAACTGATACAAATGTGGTTTGAATTGTTTAATTTGGAAAATTGCTTATGTTCAGTTCAATTGAAGTAGCGTATGAACAAATTTCGAACGATCTTGAACTGAAGTTGAACATCGTCCAAAACATTGAACATGAACTCGAACGAACATGCACAGATTTTCCCATTGATACAAAAAATTGAACTGAACACCCGAACGAACACGAACACGAAATTTACAAAACCAATTCGAACTGAACCGTTCGTGTTCAGTTCATGGGCAGCTCTAGTCTATATTTCGCCTAAATATATAACTGAAAATCTACTTTCAGGCGTATATTCGTCTGAAATCAAGGCGAAAAAATGGCCGGAATATCGACCGAGAGCATATATTAGTCGGAATTCGTACATTTTAACGGTGAAATTGGTTTTTTTTTACCTGAACCATCATCTTGACCATTTCCGCTACCATTTTGTTGTCCATCTAATGCCATTTTATCACTCGGTTGTGGTATTCTTTATAATTCGATTTATTAAAATTTTGTAATTCGATTAATATCGTTACAATTCAAGTTAAAAATCACTAGCAATTTGTTTATATTGATCTATTCTAAAAAAGAGAAAAATGAAAGAATTAAATTTCTTGGTTGACTGAAGAGTCATTAACAATACATACATATATATGTAGGACTATTGCTTTGGTGTTTTCCGAATCTGCAAAAAAATACAATTGTTTGAATAGTTCATATTAATTAAATTGTCTTTCATTCAGGATTTATGGTTGTAAACGGTTCATTTTTTCAAGCTTATTATCGAGTTATATCAATGTTTTTACGTTTATATCTTTTGGTCTCTATTTAATTAGTAAACTCAAAACTACAAGCAGGGACTTGTATTTGTGAGACGAAAAACTTCTCTTCAATTTATTTCCTCGCTGATTCGTTGAAGCAAACATTACAATGTTTGTACACTTCAGCTGACCTGTCTTTTTTCAGAAGCAGTTTTTTGGTTGAGCAGCTCAACTTGAACTATTTTTAACCGTTGACAATCGGCTTCCTATAGACATTTTCGCCTTTGTTCAGTTGCTTATTCATACATCACGTTTTTTCATTATTGTAGAACCGACACTTATGTCAAACTAAACTAAACAAATAATTCTATCCGTTGTTGTATCATCGAAAGCTAATGTTTTTGCCATGATTCCATTAAGGAAACATTTTATCCAGAGTGTTGTTCGTTGATAAAAATCTTCATGGAAAACAATATGGACGTAATATTTTTTTCAAAACAACTCTTCTAAATATTCGAAACTGTCTTATCTGTTTCTCTACAATATAAATAAATTTGGTCTAATAACCACAAACCATGTTGGATTTTAGTTGAGACGAAAAATAGAAAAAACCGGGATATAGTGAAACTGAACTATTCCAGACGATGTTACATGTCGATATTCCATTTATTTACTGATTTTCTAGGAATAATTTCAAAGTATTGTGCGCAGTATGAGCACTCGATGTACCTACGATTGTCGAATATTTTAACGATTTATGAATTGGCTTCATCTGCGACTGAATCCCATAGACCAATTTTCAACATGGTTTTTCAAAAAATATGAATAAATACAATCATTTCATTTCATTTAGTTCTACCCAACGTGAATGTAATATCTTATAACAATCCAAATTCATACATAAATCTACTCCACATTCTCAGGTAGTAAATTAAATATTTGATTCCGTTTCCTAGTTTTCCAAATTTATTTCCATGTTTTTTTGCACACATATACTTGTCGGCGAGCATTTATCTCGTCCACTGTGAGTTTGCGTTGAGTTTAATTATGCTCGACGAGCACTGAACTCGGAACATTCCACCGAAAAATGTTCACTAATACATATAATACCTACCTATATGTATACAACGTATACGCCTAACTGCATGTGAGGAACCACCCAATTTGCTATTTTTCTAGACGTCGAAACCCAAATCCCATGCAATAAAGTGTACTGAATAAATATTAAAAAATAGTTACCTAACGTGTGAGCCTAATTATCAAATTTCATCCTGAAAATCAAGGAAACCATTTCAAAAGTTCAAACGAACTCCACCCTTTTGTAAAAGACATTATCCAAGTTTGAATTATTTCCACGACAAATCAATTTTTATCAATTTCTTTTTTTTTAACGTTCCAGAAGACAGTACCACTTGTTATTTTTGTTGGAGAAAACAAAGAAATGGGACAAAAGAAATGAAAATTTGGAGGAAAAAGAACGAAATTTCTCACATAGCCAAATGACGATAAGAACCGGACTGTATTACACCGTTTGAGAATTTAAACTGTACAACGAATAGTATAGACCATCATTAAGGAATAACAACGCATTGCAGCATACAAGTGAAAGGATTTGAAGAGTGCACAGGCTCGGATTCTCTCACATACAACACCAAATACACCCACACAAAAATGTATTGTAAATAACTTACGTCTTATTTCCTTGTTCCTGGATATGTTTGTCGTTAAAGCTGTTTTGAAGGAAAAAAACATTTATGTTTAATTTTCTTAGAAAAATCAATTAAGTCACATATAATATAATGAAAAATTAATAAAATTGTTCTGAGTAGAAGAAACAGTCTAGAAATTTATTTAGGAATTCCATTTCTGAATGATATATATCCGTCTATTGCGATACGAGCAAATGCTAATGGAAATGCATACAACATTTTCCATTTGGGCGTCATTGCACCAATACATTGAATCGAAATGTTGGAAGTTACATACAACACATTCTCATATTGAAGTTTGATTATGAATTTTCGAATTGATTCACAGGGATAATGGAACCAATTTGTAAAAAATTGTATTGTTCATTTTACTCTTCATCTTTATCATCAATTCTATTGATGTGTTCTTCGAGTGCGATTGACGAAAGACCACTCGTAAATTAGAAACGAAATTCCTTCAAGTTCAATAACTTATTTGTAGAACGATAGAGAACGCATGTGCTAAATGAACAAGGAAGTTGTGATACTATGACCAAAAATATACGGAATAATTACGACCAAAATCAACACATACAACCGCAAAAACGCATTTAAAAGAAATTCAATATTTTTATCCTCAGTAATAAAACATGAAACTGGAAGATTCCATACACACACTCACTTACCTATCTCAACAAGGATATTCACCAATTGAAGAAATTCAATAAAATATAATTTCGATTATTCATTATTACTCAAAAAGTCTGAAAAACAGTTTTTTGTTAGCGATTCATAAAATGCACCGATAAGAAAATTATGAGAGATGAAGAACTGAACATAACAGAACTGAACTAAAGAAGTTGAAGAAGTGTGCTTTACGACTGATTTGTTTGAACTGAATGAATGACAACGTAGCGCATTCTGCATTCCTAAATTTCTCCATTCAATTGTTCGCTACACTTCGTCCTACCCATTCCGAAGCAATGGTGTTCCGTACCTTTTCAATCCGGAGCAACTGGAAATAAGCATTGTCCCGAGTTTGCGTAATGCGTAAATTTCTCCTGACTTTTCGAAATGAATATACGCTTGGAAGAAAGGTGAGTTAAAAACACTAGCACGTCGAGTGCTACAATTTTGCTCAAAACACCAAACCGTTGTTCACACCAAACACTTGTTCCCTAGGAAAAACCTCCAAATAATGAAAATTTTGTATGAGCATACCACACAGTGTAAAGCGGTGAGTGATACTGTTTTAAAGTACTAATCATTCGCCACCTATCACGAAGGACGGTAGTCCGACAAGTGATGCTCCATAGACTGTGCATTTCAAGCCAAATATCAAAAATGCCTGTTTTTACGTCAGGACTATATATCACGGAGGACGGTAGTCCGACAAGTGATGCTCCATAGACGGTGCATTTCAAGCCAAATGTCAAAAATGCCAGTTTTTGCGTCACAACTATATGTACAGCAAGTATGCTATTTTCTCAGGACACCATTGTTAGCCTCGGCATGTTAAGTACCGTTGGAAAGGTCTTGGCCCAAATAGTAGAAAACATCATATTCCCCATGCCTAAACTGTGGTCTAGTCAAAAATATAGTGGCTGCAAAATTTCGATGAAATTTCAAAACTATATCCATATCCCACGAAGAGGGTATCCAATGGGTGGTCTGAGATGTCAAAAAGAAGCTCCTCCTCGCCACCTTTCCAACGCCGGTCCAAGCGCTCCGTTTGGTCCAAAAAATGAAAAGTGTTGGGTATTGGCAGTTTGATCATGGTTTTCTATGAAAGATAGAAATCTATACAGTAAAACCTGTCAATAACGGAACCTGGGAATAGTGGAAATCGTGTCAATAGTGGAAAAAAAATCTGGCCGTTGAGCTCTCCCATACAAATTTACCTGTAAATAACGGAAAACCGAAATTCCGAATAGAGAAAAAAAAAAATTCATGACGAAATTTTTTTGTCTTTTATTCATCTCTTTTTCACATAAAACTAATTCTTTCCTTTATCAAAACCACTGATCATCATAAAAATTGTGCAGTACAATTTACATTACATTCATTTCAGTATTATTTTTCATTTTTGTCTGCCAAAATCATTGTTTATTTATTCAAGCAAACAAATTTTTGACGCTCCCAGTAAAAACATATTCACTTGATCAGTGCATTTACATTAAGTTTGGTAATCATTGTTTATTATTACTTTTCCGTACACAACGTGTCGAGGGAAAGTATAGGAATTGGTCCCGAAAACTTTTTTCGCAAAATTAGCTTAGATCATCATAAAAACTCATGAAACGCGTAGAAAACCACTTTTTGAGACACTTTTCCGTTCGTGTGCCGTCGTTGTCGTTGTCGTCGTTGTCGTTGGTGTTTGTTAACACGATAACTCGAAAAATAATTGAGATAATCGAAATCTGGAAATGCCAAAAGTTTTGTATCTGAAAAACTTAGTTTAAGTTCGAAGATGAGCCATTTTCGATTTGATCCTAGGGTACTTGCCCTAAGAAAAACCTCAAAAAAGCGCCACGCCAAAGCGGTTGCCTGGTCAACTACAGTCAGTCGTAATTCAAAGTGGCACAAGCATCTCCCATTTTCTGTGATAGGAACAAAATATTTGTAAAATTCATTGTATGTCGTTAACATGAAATTGATTGGTTCAAACATTGAATAATTATATCTATGGGTGAGATTGAGAGTAGTGTATGTTTAATTGACTTTGTTATTATTATTATTATTATTCTGCACCATACAGCGTTTCTTCGCCAGAGGTGGTTTATTTGATATAAATATTATTTTGTATATTTACATTATATTACATTAATTAAGTTGCTATATTTGCATAAAATTTATCACTCTCTCCATAATCTATTTCTTTTAAAATATTCATTAATTCTCTGTTTAACAGTATTTGTACTCGTGTTAAAATCAATTAAATAAGTATCACAGACTGGAGTAGGAACATTATGATAATTCTTATTTTCTTTATGAATTAAAGGTGGCTTGATTGGCACAAATTTGTTATAAAAATCATTGTACGTAGACAGCATATGATTGACTGGTTTCGAATCTGGAGTAATCACGGTGTCGTACTGGTAGAGATAGGAATGCTGTGTCTCTTGTCCAATGCCGTGGTGTTCTAATATTGATTTCGTTCATAATGTGTCTCGATGATATATGCCCGCATAACACATTATGTACCATTGTAATTTGAGCTATCTTTCTTCGTTCCGCAAGCGTTATCATTTGCAATTCCAGCAATCGACATTCGTATGGTGGTAACTTAAATCCATGGGACCATTTCATTTTACGCAGTGCAAATAATAAAAACTGCTTTTGAACGGACTCAACTGGGATTACGAGATTTTCGAGAGTTGTCAAAAGACGTACATTTGCTCTCTCTGCTCTGTAAATCTCTGTTTTTTATTAGTTTAAAAGTGAAACAGTAATTGATTTTCGATAAAATTTATATATTCAGAAACCTCTCGTCAACGCACACACGAGCCATATGAAGTTTTATTAATTTTATTTTAATTTTTGTTTTTATCAGTACATTTTTACTTTGTTTACCATTCACATAACCATAAAATGTCAACACATACTGAACCACACTCTTGTGCAACAAATGATTGCAAAGGTTATCATGATATTTTTTTAAATTGGCGTTTCTGTAAACAAAAAATGAATGCAAAATGTCTACGTGACCGTGATGAGCTGCGAACGAAAAAACTCCTATTCATGTTCGATTTAATGAGTGAAGCGAAGGACAGTGATGGCAATCCATATTTCGTTTTCAAAGGTGTACCGAGTGTAAACAAAGTGAATGAATTCCAACAATTCTTTGATGAAAACACACCATTTGGACTTACGTGTGAAGTTTGCACAGCGAAATTCGGAAGTCACACGCAAAATGATAATGGCTCCGACCGATCCAATGTACATAAACCGAGTGGAAGTCATGAAAACTCAAATCAAACATCTCAAATGAACCAACCTGGTATGTTGCCGGCTAACATTAGCGTATCCAACAAACCAAATGTGCATACCAAACGAATTGTAATACCGACGGAAGATGCAAATGGACTATACACTTTGTACGTTTCCAAAGCTGATACAGATTCATCTTCAGATGATATTGTCAGCTACTTAATGGAAAAAGCCAACCTAAACCCGGATATATTCAAGGTTTTTGCACTGCCCAGCAAAAGAAAATACCGCAAAACCTACAATGCTTTCAAAATAACCGTATTCACACGGGAGGTATGTGAATTGCTATGCAACTCCGATATCTGGTCAAGTGAATATCGAAAAAACACGTAATCGAAGTAATGTTCATGGGCGAAAACACAATGACTACCGTCGTACAACAGCCAAGTCAACTTCAAACTCACGACATTCCAATAAGTTCAACAACAACAGTAACAAACATCACACCAGACACAACCGGAACAATAACAACAACAACAATCAGCGTCGGGACATGAATAACCAACACAGACGCCGACGTGAGGATCGATCGAATGAATTTGGCTACCATAATCGAAATCGTAATAACCACAACGGTCGATATAATTATGAACCCCGCCATCGTGTAGATCACATGCACAATGGACAATTGCCACAGACCAATATGCCGCCTCCTTTTTGGTACCAAACGCCATATTTCTACCCTCCACCTCAGCAACAGGTTCATTCTCGACCAACTATGCCACTATTCCATCCGCACTATACACACGCACCACATCAAAACTTCCAACCGTTCAACGTTCAAAATCACAATGGAATGTAAGTCATACAATGTTTGATGACGTTTTGATATACTGCAATAATTTGAACGGCGTGAAAAGTATAGACAAATCAGTTGATTTTTTATCTGAAGTTTTGCAGCGATTTTTAAAATTTACATGTTAAGCGAAACGCACCTCAACGCAGATGTTTCTTCATCAGAGATATTTCCGCCGAACTTTGAAGTATTCAGATGCGATAGATCACCTACCACTGAACAGTTTCAGCGTATCAAGAGAAAAGGCTGGGGCGGTGTTCTTATCGCAATCGACAAGACATTCAATCCGCAATGTATCGGAACAGCTGAACATCTTGGTGCTGAACAAGTATGGGCCAAAGTAAAATGCAACGGCAGAAACTTGATACTGGCACAAGTTTACATAAGACCAGATTCACCGTTGGAAGTTTATAAAGCTCATATGAATGCATTGCGTGAAGTAGCATCAAAAGCAAATCAAAATGATGTATTGCTTGTATCAGGTGATTTCAATCTGCCCAATCTGATTTGGTATACATGCAACACAAATGATGCCCATGATCCTGATATCAATTTTGAGCCAAATCCAGAAGTGGCTGTTGCTGTAAATGTGGTGAGCGAAAAAGAGAAAATTGTCATTGATACGTGTCACGATCTGGGTTTGTTTCAAATATGTACTCACCACAATGAAAACAAACGAATGTTGGATTTGCTATGGACGAATGAGCCCAACATGTTCACATGCAATATGAGCAAAAGTAAAATAGTAAAAAATGAAACACATCATCAAGCACTCGAAGTCATCATCCATGATAAAATTGACAGCAAATCAGATGATGTGATTACGTACAAAGACTTCAAAAATTCTGATTACACATCGATCAATGAATTTTTTGATAATGCCAACTGGAACAATGTTTTCAACGGAATGGATTTAAACGATGCAATTGATCAGTTCTACGCAATAGTCAACACTGCAATTGATACGAATGTTGAAACGAGAACGAAAAAACACCAAATTCATCCGAAGTGGTTCGATAGTGAACTGATCAATTTGAAGAACAGAGTCAACACATTGCATAAAATGAAGAAGTTTGACACGACTGATGAAACAAAAAAAGATCACGCTGAACTACGTCGTGAGTATAAAAAGAAATCTCGTTCTGCTTTTAGGAACTACAAACTCGAGATGGAACAATTGATAAATGATGATCCACAGAAATTCTTCGAATATGTCAGAACATGCAATAATACCAATAACGATCTTCCAAATGA